GTTTTCGAATCCATTCAGCCGATCTCCGGGTCTGGCGGTAGCACTTTTAGCTGTAGCTTAGCATAGATCATTGAATCTGATTAGACCGTTAGCATCTTTTTCAAAATCGAAAACTTTATTTTCCGTCGGTCTTAGTACACGATGAGTCAAATTTTAAATAGGAAAAATATAGAAACTCTTTGGTCATTTTTGAGCGAGATGCTAACGGTCTAATCAGATTCAATTATCTATGCTAAGCTACAGCTAAAAGTGCTACCGCCAGACCCGGAGATCGGCTGAATGGATTCGAAAACGGTAAAACTCAACGGTTTAACTCTAGGGGAGTTGGAAAATAAGCCTATTTTCAAAAATAGTGGAGTGTACCTTTAACCCTATCCAACACCTAAGCATAAATACTACAACAGCTACCTTACTGTCAATAAGCAGCAAATTAGGAGTTTATTGAGGGAAAACTCATTTGATAGTGAATATGTGTTCCCCAATCTAGTGTGTTACTGAAGTGTTTTAGTAATTCAAGTGTATTACTGCTTTGAGATTAACCACTGAAAAGGAATATGAAGCAACAATCTCATGCTATATTTTGATTTACAGGCTTATAGAAATATACAAAAAAAAACATAAAATAATACAATGGGATGAAATAAAAAGTAATAAAAAATTCAATATTAAATTTATATTACATAAAAATAAATGAATACATAAATCTGAATGTTGAATAAATAAATAAACAATTGAATAGAAAAATAAATAATAAATAAGGAAATGAAATATGACCAAACATGAACATATTAAAATAAAAGATAAATGGTGTAAAATAAATAAAACAAATTTTAATGTAAAAATAATTAAATAATAATAATAAATAAGATTTGAAAGCATAGAATAGAACAGAATAGAACGTTTTCTACTTGGATTGGGGAATTTTTGGAGTTCCTTCAAACCTGAGAACAGTTTGAGACGTTACGAATCTCTCGAGAAGACACATGAGATTATAGACCTTTATTTTCTACCTTTTTATTTTATGTAATCTCAGAGAAGCATCTCATTTGTGATTTTTCTTACCTACAGATGCCTGTATCTCGTTGTGGAGCTCAGAACATTAATTCAGTCTTGGGAATGTCAGGTTTTTCTCCAGTCTAAGTAGAAAACAGTCAAATGCAAGGCCGCTCAACTGATCAAACATCAAACCTGGGAGAGGCTTTCAGTGGATGTATAATGAGAACACAGGGATTTGCTTTGACTCATCAACATCTATCAAGTGTTTCACCAGAGAAGGATTAAGGTGTATCGTGATGCACAACGTTAGATGGCTCGCTTTTGATTTCCAGCTTTAGAAGAAAGCAAGGCACATCTTTATCTTGGTCTGCATCTGCCTACTTGTTT